GTGGAAGAGGAACACCTTCTTCATGGTCAGGTGCGGCTGATGAAGATGGTGTAGCAACCGCTGGTGGAAGAGTAGACGAAGATGGAAATGATGTAGAAGTTGCTGGTGTTGGTGAAGGTGGAGATAAAGCTGATGAAGTTGAAGAGTGAGAAGTAGCCATATCAAATACAGTGCTGGTCGTTTGATGCTCGCCAACCAAATACGGCAAGGACCTGGTACTCAACCCCGCAGCACTGGTTGCAGCAATTGGGGCCCGAAAATGGGAGTTGGCATATTCTACCAAATCAAATTCTCCCCAAAGTGCCGAGACATCGTCTTTAGTTGGTGTAAATATCTCAACAGGTCGAGCATCCTGTTGAGATGATGAGGATCGTCGCCTTCTGTGAAAAGAAGCTCCCTCATCGACAACTTCTTCATCATCATCAATCATCACGGTGTCTACGACCGGCCCAGAAGGAGGACCGATCATCATCGCCACCGGAGATGATTCGGGGGCATCAACCTTTGCCTTTTTATTCTTTTCCCCGGCCGCAGAGGAGTATCTTCTCTTTGTTTGTTTATTTTCCGGCCGGGGACTCCGTAAAGAAATATTTGTACCCGAAACATGCCCGGAGATACCTGTTCGAGTAAGTGCTTCCTGAAGCAGCCTCGCTGCATCAGCAGGATCAGCCAGAACCTCCTCCTCGGGGACAGCAACAGAGCCCGCAGGTAGATCTAATTCCATAAACAAAGTCAGAAGGGTTCAACCAAGTTCTTCATGTACAAAAATGGAAGCAAGGTAAATTAGAGTTATCATGATTTTTGGCCTTCTACCCATATTTCAGGGCCAGTTCTTTCCATGAACGAGTTTCGGGCGTTGTGACATCCAAAATCTTCTGAACCCACCGGCTCAAACCTTCCACCACCGATGGGAGCCATCGAGTTTCTAAAATATGTGAAGGGTGAAGAGATGATACGGCCATAGAAGAATATCTAGTAAGAGGAATATTTTACAAAGAACTTACGAGTGTAGTTCCAATCAACCGGAAAGGATGAAACCGTTGTCGGAATAATGTCGTTGGTGGAAACTGCAACGAACCATTCCATCCACCCACGATCGATGTCATCATCCATGCTAGACAACAAAGCATGGTGGCCGCACTTGCAAAGGTTTATCATTCCCCCGCAGAATATTTTGGGAGAATAGAGATTCATCACATGAGCTAAGGTTAGCTCATCCCCAGTTTCTTGGCATAAGTGTCGGAGGTAGGCGATCGTCCTCCACACTGAAGGACTTACCTGTGCTAAACATACCTGGTAGCGAAGGCAAAACTCCGCAACCACAGAATCAAGCTCCTTGCTCAAAGAAAACGCACACAAAGTAAAGGGATAAGTGAAAAAGCATGTAAAACCTTCCTTGGGAAGGGTCACTCGCTCTGATAGATCAGGAGCGATAATTTCCAACTCATTGCAGAGGCAGTCCTCCTTCACAACAGGAATACTGGAAGGACGAATGGAAGAAGGGTACCTACTAACATCACATGTACGAGGGTTAGCAGTAAGAAATTTCTCTTCAAAATCCTTCGAAGTACTAAGCCTTCTTGGGATGATGGACTCTACTGTTGGAGGAACGGAATCCTCGATTTTGTTCTTACTCTTTGTAGAACCACCACGTTTGGAGGAAGAAGCCATTGGAAAAGAAGAAGGTAAAGAGTTTGTATTTGAAGAAAATTAGAAAAAGGTTGGAAAATAAGGATGTAAATTAGAAGCTCAAGCAATTGTAAAACGCAAGGGAAAAGAAAGTTGCGTATAAGTAAAATTTTGGCGGCTAAATTCATGGCCATGATTACCTCGATAATCGGCAAAAGCTGCGCTGAATCATGGGATGATGCGTGTTTGGGGCATTAAATGCGGAGAGGCGTGAGTCTAATCAGCTGTAGAGACCTTCAGAGGGAATTATTGAAATTCCTGCCAAAACAATGTTTCTACCAACTTTCCAGTAACACAAAGTTATGTCACCGGAAAGCAGGGGGACTATCTTTATAAGGTAAAATATGATATGACACGTGGCTGACTAAAAGGAGGACACGTGAAATCCAATATGGAATAGCTGAGGACCGAACGCAGACACTGCGCTTGTCACCGGAACGAATAACGTTCATAAAAGTGTATTAAATGCTCTGCGTCCGGTAGCATTTACTGAGGAATATTCTACAACATTAAGAGCGACAGTCCGTTACAAAGAATTTGGCATTTACACTCAACGTTACGTCTTCATCAATGACCCTCATAATTGGCATTAAAGGAGGGCATGATTCTAAGACCTTTTTCCCTAGGCATAGTTATAAATAGTGAGCTCAGTTACCAATGTAAATGGTACGAATTTTTCTGGCAAGAATATATACTATATTCTATACAAAGTTTTATACAATTTCACTTTCTTGTTTTTTGATCTCATCATTACTGTGTTCGGAAACCGTGTTCACAGAATCACCATCTTTGTTATCTCATCTACATTCTAAGGCTAAGTATTGTGTATTTTTTAGATTATTATATTATTTCAGGATCAAATTAGTTTACTTGTCTAGAAACCACATATAAATTCAATTGTACCGTTTTACGGGTAAACACATACCTTGCCACAAAGGTTAGAATAATTATAGGATTAGTTTTCTAGGTTTAACAATATGGACAGTTTTGCTACAATATGGCGCAAGAGTTCCAATCATCTGTTTCAGCAAGCATCCATTCTGATATTTAAATGTAAAACAACTCCAGCTTCAATTATCAGGTACAAAGTTAAGAAATTAATCTCAAATGAAACAAAAAAAATGATAATGTTTCAATCAAGTCTTTTAACCTTACCAGTATATAAAAAAAAATCTAAACACCATATAGGTGTAGGTACTAGACAACGAAACAACAGACACATCTCACCTTAACTAGAACTTGAAAGACCAATAAACTCAAATCTATAACAAAATCAGACATTTTAACTAACAATCAGAAGTTGAACTATGACAACGAAATGGCGTAATTACCAAATGCTTCTACCACTTGGACAACAGTCCAGTACTCTAACGTCCCAGCATACGGGGTTGGCACATCCTGTGATAACAAATATACAATTGGGGCATCTAAATAGTCATGGAAGTTCTCAGTTATAGCGGCTGTCAAGCTGGCACCAATACCTCCTGTCCGCATACATTCCTCGACGATGAGTCTTCTTCACTGAATTTCCGATGGTGTGAAGGTCAAATGGTTTCAATGACCTCAGGATCATAACCCTTGTCCACAAGCGTCTTCGCGGCCTGCATATCCTGGAATAAGTTAAAATAGTAACATGCTCCCCCGGTCTTACCATCTCAGCTTCTTCAAGATTCAAGACATACTCTTCGTCTGGAATTCTCTCCTTGAGGTTGTAGAGCAAAACATGCTCAAACAGAATCACAGGGTTATCGCTCCAAACAGTGCCGGCCCAAGGGTAAGGCTGCTAAAGCAGTTGCTTTGGACCTCATAATTTTTGGGCCCCAAAATTTTCTAATAGATTATATATTAATTTATTTTTAAAAGAATATTTAGTGCAGAAAGTACAAATTTTTATAGTAAACAAGTAGGATTAAATTGTTGATCATAAATTGAAAAAAAAAAATCTTTTTGGGAATCACTGTCTAGACCATAAATTGAGAAAGGATTCGATTATTAATTCATAACTCAAAAAAGGGTTAAACTTTAATACAGTCTGACAACTTATATATCTCAAGAGAAATTAAATAGATTAGATAAAATTATTAATAACTTTACATATGAAAAACAAGAAATACAGAATTTAAATGAAATCATATATGAATTTTTTCTTTTATATAAAAAAAATGGCCTCTCATTGAATTTTTGTTTTAGGCCTCCATATTTATTGAGCCGCCCCGGCTCCAAATAGCTGCCTTCATCAAGCCCTTGGCATTTTAAGGGGTTGAGCAGGCAACCATTTGGATTCCAGGAATTGACTGGAAATACGACTCAAGGCGCTGAGAGTGCTCTGCTCCGAGCTGTCGACCAACTCCACCAGGACCTCGAATGACCACTGGTATCTTAAACTGGCCACCAGATGTGTAGTGGAGCATACCACAGTTGTTAGATATCTGGTTGAAGGCTAAAAGAAGAAAGCCCATGTTCATTCCTTCAATAACTGGACGCAGGCCAGTCATTGCAGCTCCAATACCCATTCCAGTGAAAGAGTTCTCAGCAATGGGAGTGTCTAGAACCCTGAGATCACCATATTTTGGGGCAAGGCCTTTAGTCACCTTGTACGAACCTCCATAATGACCGACATCTTCATCCATTACACAAACAGTGGAATCTCTGTCCATCTCTTCTTCAAGCCCTTCGCGGAGGGCCTCAAAGAGCAATAGTTCATGCCTAAAGATGTACAATTCAATCACATAAGTGGTGTGGTCAAGCAACATGGAAGCCGGATAAAGAACAATACTACAAGAAAATAGGCCTTTAGCGAGGGGAAATGTGGTCGTTAAAAGTCTAAATTCGGTCGTTATAAGTGTATAACGACCAGAAAAAATCCGGTCGTTAAAAGTCCGACGTTAAAAGTTAACGACCGGATTACAATGCGGTCGTTAAAGATCCTTTAGCGACAACATAATTTCCGGTCGTTATACATCCTTTTTAATGACCGAATTTTCCCTTCGCTAAATTGTTATCCAGTCGTTAAAAGTCTTTAATGACAACAACTAATTCAGTCATTAGAAGTGCTTTTAGCGACCTATATTTTCTTCGTTATTTGTATTAATTTTAAAAACCAAATTTACCTTTATTAATGCCCATTAATATGTTTGAGAAACCTATCATTAAAGAGTTTCAATGGCCACATTTTTCTTTGCTAATGTAAAATTGTACTAAATATAAGTACAAAAATTTAAATTAGATGTATAGAACTAATTATTTGTATGCTTTCATAAACACCCAACAATATTCTAAAATAAACCAAATACTTGGTATCTTTGTCAATATAAAGAACTAAAGTATCATATTTACCAGAAACCAATCTAAATCGTATGACATCATTTTTAATAATTCCTAAGAAGAGAAAAATAAAATTGCAGCATATGTACAGTGTCTTTAAACCATCCCTAACAAAATATAAACCTCTTGTACTTCAACTTGCTCTAAACTTTCTTCAAGGGTAGGTTCTTCGGACTACAAATATTTGATCTATTAACATAACAAAGGTATGCCAGTTTAGTAATAAAGAATAAACAACTAAAGAAGAAATATCAGATCCATTAAATTAAAGGCTACACTTAATGTCCATAAATAAGAATTGAAATAATACAACGATCAGATGACTTGTTCCATATATTGCAGGTTGACAGATATGAACAATAGAGAAGAAGAAGCCAAAACTTATCCATTTGGAAATCCAGGCTTTACTTGCTACAGTATACATGGTAGTATATAGTCAGTTGAATATGACAACCCCTAAAGGGGGCCAGAATGACATTAAGTACGTTTAGTATAAAAGAGAAAGTAAGCCAATGTACTGGCACTAAGAAGAGTTAGACTCTGTCAAAGGCATCAGAATGAGTCATAATTGGCAACAAAGACAAGAACAAGTAGTAGAAGAACAAGAGAAAAATAGATATCCACACATGCATAACCAACAGATTCACAATCATCTTGTCCCCATGCATGCTCTCTTGAGGGAGATTGTCATCAGTCTCCCTTTGCCAACTTCCTCTAATAGGAGTACAATATCATATTGTAGAGATGAACCGAAAGGTTTTCCATGGCATCGAAACTTTCTAGAAAATGTATTTTATGCAGATTTAGAAAATTGTGATGGAGGGTTTCTGGAGAACAAAATTTGTGGCTCACTATCATCACATACCTTATAAACAATGCCCAAAATTAATTGCTAGTAGAGAAACTAAAAGAGTTGGTAGGGAAGTGATTGGCCTTGGTAACAAGGACTGGGCTTTGTGAACAAGAAACATAGAGAGCAACCTCTGGAGAAGTCTTTGTACTTATTCTTTTTAATCTGCTAAGGTAGTAATTAAAGTAGTCAAAGAGCTTTCTTTCATTAATTATTAGAAAATAGAGCTAGCTCACCAAAAACAATTTTGCAAGAATATAACTATTAATTTTTGTTTTTTGCAAGAATATCTTTAGCATAAGAAAGTGAAGCATTCATTAAAATTTCATTCACTGTATGACGAGTTCATTCATTTGGACAACTTGTTAGACGTGTTGTCATAAATATAATTACCTAATATAAAGCAAACACACAAATATAAGTATATAACAACAACAATGCCTCAATCTCAATCAAGTTGGGTAAGCTTATGAAAAGACTCCTAGCAAATATTGGACCTAGACTAATTGTAATAAAAGGATCTAAAACGTAATCTCAACTTACTACCACATGTATAGATCTTTTCTTTACATTGTGCCATATTTTTTGCTAGGTTTGCATGAATTCCAAGAAATTGTAGGTCTTTCGAGACAACTCCTTAAACATATAAATAGAAGATAAATCCAAAACACTATCCTTTTCAATCTTCAAGAAATTCATATGTAAACTATGTTAGACCTTTATTTGTCTTAACATCCTCATACAGAACGGGTGTGACATTGGTTCACTTTGTGCATATTCTCCAATATAAAGAAAAAATTGCACATATTGTTGATACAACCTTCTCTAAAAACTACAGACTTATATAATAAGCATTTTCAGAGAATTCCAGATGCATTTGGACAATTTTCTTAGCCTATTTTCTATCAGCAGAGATGTTAATATTCAACAGGTGTGTGCTATAGAGTTTTATTCTTAATCTGTAAATGGTTCTTTTGAAAAGTTTCTTCTTTGTGAACACTGGATATTCTTGATAGAATATTATGTTCTTCTTTTCGTGTATATTTTCCAATAGAACGAATGTTACTTTTTCTCTCTCTTTTAAATTGTTAATTATCTCCTGTCCTCTGTATATTTTTGGTTTATAGGTTGTAACTAATTCTATCTATTAAGTGTTCATTCCAAAAGTTTTAATATTATTTTCTGGCTTTCACATTAGTCTGGAATTTCCTATTCAACCAAGAAGAATTTGGACTAGCCTAGTAATACTAGCAAATTACATGCATGAAATAAGCATTTAGCCTAATGTTACGGGCCCAAATCCTTACATTGGGTAGCGGCACCTGTTTGCCCGTGCGACGCCTGCAGTTCCCCTCGCTGCAAGCCAGCCTGTTTCCTATCCCAGGATTCCCAAGCACGATCCTGTGCCTGTTGGTGGGGCTCGCCCCAACTTGTGCCACCCGTAAGATGTCTAGGCCCTTGGCCCTAGACATGTCGTGGAGCTTCATCTTAGGATCACTATTCATGCGCGCCCTGGGGTATTGGCTTAGGACATGTCTTGTCCCTCGCCCAAGACTGAGCATCGCTCCCGCATGCACAGCCTAATCCTCAAGCTTGACACTCGCCTAGTGCATCCGCGACTAGCTCGTGCCTCGCCCGAGTAAGGCAACCTTTAGCCCTTGGCCATTGCCATGCGCGTCTTTCGTGCCATGCCCATACATTGCCCTCGCGACAAGCTTTCATCCCGAATAGTGCAGTGTGGCCCCACAACTGCACCTTTAGGCCAACAGACCCTTGCTTGCATGGTTGAACCCAAGCCATACTCACAAGTCGACACATGATGCCCCTATGATAGGTGCGTCAAGTATCCAATCAGCACGGAGGTCTCCTTCCAACATTCGGCAGCCCGCGGGGCTGGTCGTCCCACACATCGAGCCTCCAGCACCACTTTGATGCCCAACGCTAGCCCGAAGGCGTTGCGCTGCCCATAGAGTTTCCCAAACTCGTATGGATACCTTTGACACTCCTTTGAGTCATCTAGGCAGACCCTTGAGGTTGCCCCCATGGTAGCTCGTTCTATACGGCTCGGTGGCAGCACGTGTGGGGGAGGCAGGTCGGAGCTTTCATCACATATACCCCCCTTTTATATGCTTAAAATTAAAAAGCCCAAGTTTTTCGAGTAGACAGTTCTACGTCAGACCATCAGAAGGATCTTTTCTCACCAGTTCTTGGCCGAAATCACAACTCCAAATTGCGAGTTGTGACACTAAGCTATATTCCTTCACCCATATCAGCAAGGAAAAATCTCCTTCAAGTAACCAAAGGATGTGGAGATCTTCTCATCCAAAATAGCTTAATACTAGCAAATTATGTAATGATATAAGCATTTAGCCTGAGATATATTCTTCTATTCAATCCAACGTTACTGTTTCTACAAACTCCCTGCCAAGTTTGGCGACATATATATAATAGATGATTCCATTAACCATAGAACAGATGATTCCATGGGGAACAAACAAGATTAATTATTAGAATATCAGCAAAGCAAAATAATTTTTGTCACAAACAAGACTTGCAGTTCTAACCATCAAGAAGTTGCTTCTAGGCTAAACATATGTTGTAGGGCAATTTGTTCTTGAGATATATAACAATTTGCGAGTTACCATATGTTTCTTAAGACAAATTCTGATCAAAAGGATCCACAGAAATGTAGTCAATATGTTCTTGAAACTGAATAGCTCCCAAGAAAATCTCCTCTAACATTTCTAGACTTATCAATAACAAGATAATAAAGATTGTAACCTAGCTACACATGTACAAATATTTGAAACTTCATTCTTAATTAAAGGCACTTGTTTCAATGACTATATTTTTATTTATTCATAAACCTTAATAACATAAAAAAAAAAAAACTTCCACATGAGCATTGCAATAATTTTATTAAAGACTACAATAGGATTTCAATCTACTAACCTGTTAAATGATTCAATTTATTGCTCAATTGAAGATGGTGATGAAGGCTGATCAAATACTGCACTTGCAAGCTGTGCATATTTACTGTCTAACATATCATATTTACTCTTTAGCCTTTTCAGTCGTCCTTTTAGTGATTCATTTTCCTTTTTAGCAGCATTCAACTTCTCTAATAATGCAGCTTTTGAGGAGTTATCACCTTTCAACTCCCTAGTGGTTATCCCACCACCAAATCTAACTACATGACTCTTGCGTTGAGGTCCAAAGTACCTCTCTACAACCTCAATGTTTGAAAGAGACGATTCAGATTGCACCACTTCTTGCATTTTAGACTATAAATGAAAGATAATTTAATTAAAATACTGCAACACGGTAAACAAATAATGTAAAATGAAATTTATCAATAAACATACATATTTTTCATTGGTTTTAGGTTCAACAAGTTTGCTGTCCTTCTTACGAGTCTCAAAAAAGATAGTTGCCATATCTGGTGGATTGCCATCTTTACCTCCCTTCACATTAAAATAAACAAGGCAAAAAAATATTTTTAACAAGGATGAGTTTTCTTAACAGAATTGCAAGATTTACTCACCAATTCATAAATTATCTCTCTAATTGGCTTACTACCCATACGATGAGGCATACTCAACTTAGACCTATTGACCGAGTTTCTTGCACTTTTTTCCTAAATTGAGAACACACCAAAAAATTATGGTCAGCCACTTAATATAACAAGATGTTAATAAATAGTTATGAAATCATATCTTAAAATTTTCTGATAAAAAATGCTCCTTGACAAGCCATTCCCAATCACTCTTGTCTACCCCATTTGGCACATCTTTTAGAGCATCACGAAATGGCTTAGACTTAATATTCTTGTGCAGTGATCCTCTCCAATTTTTTCATAACTTTCTCATATGTTTCAAGACATGATCTCGTTGATCATTTATGTCATCACTATCAAATTTGCCCTATAATATTCACAAGTGTCAGTAAATATGGAACTATCCAGTAAACTAGAAAATAAAAATTTAACCACCTGTGTATATCAAAAGAGATAATAAATATCTTATAAAGGTTATTATACGAGTTCTAATTGATAGAGAGGGTAGATTCTTAAGTCTGTGACTTTGGATATGAAAGTGGGAGATTGGTTCTATTGTGAAAATTTTATCATCCACAATAAAGTCATAGATAAGCCATGACAGATTCATACCATGATGTGCTGTACATATTGGTTCCCTATATTGATCTGTCAAAAAGCTATTACAATATAAATATGTTCAGCTCTTTATTACTATGTAATATCACCAAAGTTGGTCTAACTTTTAATCTGTTATTGTGCTAGCTCTAAATCTTCACTCAAAGATCAAGAGAAAAATGGAGAAGATATAACTCATCAGTAAGAGGAGAATGACAATCACTCTTTGGCATTAGTTCCTGTAGATTTGCCAAAGCCAAAGGAAAACAATGATCTCGTTGTTCTTGAAACCACTGTGATAGAAGTTCTTGATGCACTGAGGCATGCTAAAGAGAAACTTCAAACTCATATGGAGAGAAGAAATATGATTAGAGTTGGCTAATTTATATGACAAGTTGTTCATGGCATACTGGATGCTTATTGAACTATAGATAATGAAGTACCAACCCTGATGATATTATATTATGTTCAAGCAAACTCACTGTTGCCATGTAATATTCTTGCAATAAAGGACATAATTTGGTGATAAACTTTCTATCCCAATTGAAAGGTCAAGGCTATGTCATACTGGTGATCATCAAGTCATATTTGGTTGGTAAGTAAAAATTATTTATAACAACCAAGAAGCATAGAGATACTGAAAAAGAGAGAAATGTGGAGGTTCACCTTGTATTACATAGACACAAAAAAGATTGCCTTCAAACAATGTGAGATCTCATCTGACACCAAATTACCCAAAAAAATCATTTGGAAAGAACTTCGAAAACTCAATTTTATTTTTGTAATTAACCAACCATTCAATGTAATGATGTAAGCTCACAAGTATTTCCTTTTCATTTGTAAAAGAAGAAAAGGAGAAGAAAAATTAATAAAGTAATGCTTTAAATCCTTACAGTGACAGCTTCCCACATGTGTTGCAGCTTATATTCTTTGATGTCCGCCCATGAGTGTACACGCAGTGGACACATATTATGATCACGAATTAATATACCCAAGTATCTCGTAAATGAGGCATGATTCTTTCCAACAACCCGATTGTGGTAAAAAGTAACGGTCAACTTTTCTCCAACTTTGAGTCCTGCAACCTTTTTACACATATTCGTTCTTCTCACTTTTTGTAACGATCCGACTTGTAATTTTAAGAATTTATGTCCCGTTCAATGACTTAAGGTTTCGAGCAACCTCGCAATATGTATTATGACCCGCGTATGTGATCGAGTTTGATTTAGGGATGATTCAGAGTGATTTGAAACACTTAGTCCCTAAGACGGAAGCTTAAGTCTTAGGATTTTGACCGTAGTTGGAACTGTGTGAAGACAACTCCGGAATGGAGTTCTGATGGTTTCGTTAGCTCCGTTGGGTAATTTTGGACTTAGGAGCGTGTCCGGACTATGAATCTGAGGTCTGTAGCCAATTTAGGCTTGAAATAACGAAAGTCAAATTTTTGGAGAATTGGACCGGAAGTGAAATTTTTGATATCGGGGTCGGAATACAATTCCAAGAGTTGAAATCGCTCCGTTATGTTATTTGGGACTTGCCTACAAAATTTGACGTCATTTTTGATAGGTTTCGACACGAGTTTTAGAAGTTGGAAGTTTTTGAAGTTTATAAGTTCGATTTGTGGTGCGATTTGTATTTTTGGCGTAATTTGATGTGATTTGAAACCTCGAGCGAGTTCGTGATATGTTATGGGACTGGTTGGTATGATTAGACGGGGTTCCGAGGGGCTCGGGTGTGTTTCAGGATGGTTTCGGACCAAATTGGAGGTATTTGGACTGCTGTTGCTGAAGTCTGGTTTCCTTCTTCACGAACGTGAAAGGAGTCCCGCGAACGCGAAGAGGAATTTGAAGGGTTGATGATTTGTCCTTCGCGAACGCGAACGCGAAGAAGGAGTAGGGCAAGCCTTCGCAAAAGCGGCCCAGGCAACGCGAACACGAAGAAGAAAGGAAGATAGGGGCCTGGGGTCATTTGTCCTTCGCGAACGTGAAGCGTGGAACGCGAACACGAAGGATTTGGTCAGCTGGTCATCGCGAACGCGAAAGGGAAATGATGGGGCAGAAATAATTGGCCTTCGCGAACGCGACGAGGAGGTCGCGAACGCGATGAAAGATTTGAGGCAGTTGGGTTTTGGCCTTCGCGAACGCGAGGCAATCGTCGCGAACGAGAAGAAGACCTATCTGGGCAGAATTAAAAGTCCCGAAAACGGGGGTTTGAGTTCATAACTCAAAATCAAAGTTGGAGCTTGGTAGAAGGCGCTTTTTGGAGAGATTCTTGCGTGGGTGTTTGGGGTAAGTGATTCTTATCCAGTTTTGATTAATTTTCATGATTATGTCTTTGAATCCATCGTTTAATTCGAATTTAATGGAGAAAAAATCAAGATTTTTGTAAGATCTTCCAAAAACGAAAATTTAAGATTTGGAAATCGAGTTGTTATTGGAATTCGATAAAATTAGTATGGTTGAACTCGTATCGGAATGAGTGTTCGGATCTTATAAAAATTATGTCGGGTTCCGAGAGGCGGGTCCCGCGTTGACTTTTATTGACTTTTTGGAATAAATTTTTAAGTCGACGTATTATTATCCAGAATTATTTTTGATGAATTTTAATGAAGTTATACAATTAATTTGGATAGATTTGAGCTGTCAGGAGGTCAATTCAAGCAAGAAGGCGATTATGGAACATCGGCATAACTTCAAAGAGGTAAGTGTCTTGCTTAACCTCGAGTGGGGGAAATTCCCCTTAGGCATTGAGTCTTATGTGCAACTTGGGTAATTGAAAACCATGTACGCGAGGTGACGAGTACGTACTTGGTTTATATGTGCAAATTTTATTGAGTTAAAAGTCCTGAGCATATTGTGGAGTAAATTGGATAATTGTTGGCATGCATTTAATCATCTACTTGTCGTGCCTAAACCCTTGTTGTTGACTCTGTTGTTATATGACAATGTGATGTGATTGTTATTTGATTATTTATGAAATTTCGTGAATTT